CCAGGGTTAATTATTGCTTACGCCACTCAACCCTATACGACTCCGGGGTGTCAGCGCCCGGCGGGTCATAATATTTGTCGGTAAAATTCACGCCCTTATACGCCAACAACAGGCGTATGGGTTGAGCCCTACCACGCATTTTGAAATAGCCAACTGTGGGCACAGTTGTGTCGGACATGTTGTATAAACAGTATAATGCAGTTTAATATTAATCTACTTTTATTAAACACTGTTTTAGTTATAACGAAATATAAAATAATTAATTTTTATTTATAATAAAATTGTATTTTTACAATAATGTATAAGAGCTATAATGTCAATAATTTTGTACTGTATTAATAATTTACAAATACCTTATCTAATCTTGATCAATTTATAGCAATAATATTTATGAAATATATATATTTATAATCATTTTATTACATAATGTGAGCATTAAGTTTGTTTATATAATGCGTCCTTGGTTAATTTATAATAAATATTTTTTGAATCAAATCAAATCAAAATTTATTCACTTATTCACAACATGCTCACAATTTTTATAAAAATAAAACTAATAATGATAAATGAGAAAGTCACAATTTAATATTAACGAGGTCACATTTTGACTATTACTTTTTACATAGTTAGTTTTTCAATCAAAGAATGAGACAAATATGATAATTTTAATTGTAGTTTGATTATACATATTGAATTATAATCAGAAAACTATTTGTTGAACCCCCATGATACGTCCGGTCCAAAAATTGGCCAACTTATAAACTCCGGTGATTTCATGTATGCCTTAATCGCCGGTAAACTCTCAAAACGGGACAACAATTGACCTAAATTTTTGTAATTATTGACGGTCTCGGGGCTGAAGAGTCGAAACCAGTCCAAGAGTTCATACGCCTAGAAGTCTACATAATTAATGTGATTACCGGTAAACCACTGACGGGTATCTAAAAACCGGGACAACGCGTCCAACTGTTGGGGCAGTGTTTCAGCGATATATTTAATATTTTCTAACTTATAGTCTTTGCCAAACACTAAGCCATCAACAAATCCGCTCCTAATGTCCTCCAACTGTTGCTCCAACACATCCTGTCGTGTGAGTCCGGTCTCGTCGGTGGCCACCAGTCCGTGCTTTCGGGCCAAGTGTCGCATAATGGCTATTCTTTGGGTCAGTTTATTTCACCATCAATGTAATATGGTACGTTGGGAAAGTCAAGGTCCAGGGTGAATTTCACATTAAACCATTCAGCTCTAAACTCATTCAGAGTTTTGGCGTCAGACGTGTTGTGGTATTTGTATGGGTTGAGCCATACTTAGGATTTCATAATACCCTAATGTTTGAACAGTTGTGGTGGACATGTTGTTTATAAGTGGTTTACAATATGCAATTGTTTTTAACAATTACAAGTAAACGATATTAAATACACGGAAACACCGTAGTATTATAGAATAAACAAAAAACTGTTAACTTAATAATATAATAAGTAAGTTTAGTTTATTGGGTTAGAAGCCCTGTCTATAAGCAAGCCTTCGCTGCACTGGTATATATATACCTAAAATCGAAGCCTAAACAGAATTTAAATATCTATTTACAAACAAAATAACCCCATAAAGAATGCGTATAGTATATTTGGTATTTTTAACCACAATTCAGTATGAATAATGTGGTTTATAGGATCGTTCTGCCCCCCTCCCCCAGCCCCCCACCCTCTGGGATTTAACATGGGATTACATGTTAATCCTATGACATAGACTT